GACGCTCTCACACACACACACACACACACACACACACACACACACACACACACACACACGTGGGTCCTCTCAGAGCAGCAGTAAGGCATGTAGTCAGAGCCGCACAAAGATACAGCAGCGGTCTGGGTAAAAGGAGCCATTGTGTTCATTGTGTTCATGTTCAGTACAATCATGGGTGACTTACGTGACAGCATACTGTGCAAATGAAAGATACTCCACCAACACATCCAAACCCTTATTATCCTCATTCAGAAACTCCCGCACCCACCTAAACAGAGAGAGAGAGAGCGAGAATTACAAAAAAAAAAAAACCTGTCCATCAAAAGTTTGTACGCATTACTGTATTACTTTGATGTTTTATCATTACTGCATTATAGTGCTATATCACTAATTACACCACTAGTAAGCATGCAGTAGTTAGACTAGATAATCCAGGAGACTCCACAGAGCTCACAGTGTGTCCCAGCGTTCAGAAACCACACTTCCATACGGAGACAGACGTCATGAAATATGCATCATGGAACGGCGTCTCAGTAGCTTAAAAAACAGCTTCAACGCAGTTCGGAGATTGAAAGCAAATGTTTCATGTAGCTGGATTTCTCCCTCAGAGCAACAGCAATGAGAGATACTTCAAAGACACGGCAGAGATATCCCAGAATACCGCACACACACACACACACACACACACACACACACTCACAATCACACTGACAAAGACCGCGAGGATCCCAGAAATGATCAAAAGCCAGTTTTCACCTTTTATTATGGTGTTATGTCTCTATTTCTTTTGAGTTTCTAATGAGCAGTTTAACTCATATGTGACTAAATGTATTTATCTGAACATTATGAGGGAGCTATGGAAAATAGAACTAGTCTCATATAAGCAAATTGTTAAGTCTGTATACATTTGCATTGCATGGTTCTTGGAATACTTCATTTAAGTCAAATATTGCACTCTGTATTATTTTCAAATGGTTTATTTTGCATTAATGATCAGCTGAGTGTACGTTATCCCTTAAAATATAATTTTAACATAATGAACAAATGGGAGAAACATTGTTTGGGGAAAGAAGGAACACATATGCGACTCTAGGGACAGAGTTTGAGTTACCATTCTGTTGTATTGTGTTTGTCGAACCCTCTGTGAGCAGATAATACTGCTGTATCTCATCTAGATTAACTAGGTCATTTATGTAATCTAGTTTAGTACCATACGGCAGCTAAATGTCTGTACGGGTTGTCTAGCAGCTCGGGGGTTTCTGGGAGTATGTTTGTCTGGTCTGAACCGCCCTTGAAATAATGAAACTATAATAACACTCATTTATGGGATGACAAGGAAAGAGTGTGTGCTGGTTGGTACTGGAATATCACATCTTCCCATTTTCCTGTTGTGACATTTTCCGGACCTTGCCGAGTTCTGTCAACCTTTCCACATCTGGTCAATCCTAGTTCCCAGTATGCAACTGGGTGTGTGATTTTCAGCTCTCACAAAATCTCAGAATTTCTCCGCTCTGATTAGGCTGAGCAGGGATTCCCAAAACAAAAACCTGGTGGTTTGGCAAACTTGGCATTCTAGCAGAATTCCACTATGCAGAAATATGACAAGTCCAGTCAGGAGCATTTGGCTGTTACACCCACCGCCTCACACAAAAGAGCATTATTTCAGCTTCAATGCATCTTACATGAGGGCTTTTGGAGTCTGCCTTACTCAGAGCAGTGATCACAGCTCCAGTGTGAGCAGTATTTAATGAACACACATACACACAGATAAACTCACCCGATGTGATTGGTCCGTAATGAGATTTCCAGCTCCCGCAGGACCTGCGTCGACTCCTGCACTCTCCTCCTGAACTTCTGCAAAGGAAAGAAAGAAGAAAAAGCCTTTACAACAGCCTTCATCTACTAGGCTTAATAACAATGAGAAAGAAGTGTCTTTTAATATTGCAATTGTTTCTCATAGATAACAATAGCATTAAATAAATAGCAAATGGGGAAAAAGACAAAAGTCATCTCACACATATCTCCGATCTTACGGTCTGGTCTTCTGTCACACTACAGAAGGAGACCGGGGGTAGACAGACAGGTAAATGTAATCTCTTTATGTACAGCTTGGTGCGGAGGGGAGAGATGCAGAGCAAACGGATGAGTAACTCAAGAGTCTTTGAGAATAACTGGACTTAGCTCATGTTAATAACCGATCCTTGTATCTCTTTACAGGTCTAACGGATGATGCAGACGGCGAAGACAGGCGGGTAACAGGTTAGAGTCCAGGTAGGTGAGTCAGGTAAGGAGTAACAACGTTTCTTTTCCTCTTTGCAAGGTTGGCATGCTGAAGATGAGATGTCAGGACGTGAGAATACAGGGGAGTAGGAAAGGAATCAGGTATGGGTAAACCTTGATGAGACCAGACAATAAGGGTGTGAAAAGTGACTGCTTATATATAGTAGGTGATGAGGTGAATGGTGGCAGGTGTGCTGATTGGGGATCTGGTGCAGGTGTGAAGCAGGCGGGATGCTGGGAAATGGAGTCCTTAATGAAGTAAGGTGACTGAGCTGCGGACTGGGATGGTGACTGGGCGCTCTGGAGGAGCGGACACTGGAGGGTGCTCTGGAGGAGACGACCACCAGAGTACAGGAGTTGAGGTTAGGGATTTGAATTTCATGGAAGGAATGGCTTCCTTGGCCGAGACTGAGGAAGTACTCTCCATAGCAGAAGGAATGGCCCTTCTGGCCGTGACAAGGGAAATTGACAGAACGGCACTCCTGGCCGTGACAGGGGAATTTCTTTCCATTGAAGTAGGAATGGCTCTCCAGGTCGGGCCGGGGAAACTTCTTTCAATTAAAAAAGGAACGGCACTCCTGGCCGTGACGAGGGGACTTAATTAGACTGAAGAAGGAATGGCACTCCTGGCCAGGACGAAGGGACTTAATCCGACTGAAGAAGGAACGGCACTCCTGGCCGTGACGAGGGGACTTCATCCGACTGAAGAAGAAATGGCACTCCTAGCCGTGACAAGGGAACTGGATCCAACAGAAGATAGAACAGCACTCCAGGCCGTGATAGGGTAGCTGATTCTTACAGTGAGGGGAACGGCTCTCCTGACTGTGGCAAAGACACTTAATCCGACTGAAGGGGAAACGGCACTCCTGGCCGTGACGGGGGACTTAATCCGACTGAAGAAGTAACGACACTCCTGGCCATGGCAAAGACACTTAATCCGACTGAAGGGGAAACGGCAATCCTGGCCGTGACGAGGGACTTAATCTGACTGAAGAAGGAACGGCACTCCAGGCCGTGATAGGGTAGCTGATTCTGACAGTTATGGGAACGGCTCTCCTGGCCGTGGCAAAGACATTTAATCCGACTGAAGAGGGAACGGCAGTCCTGGCCGTGATAGGGTAGCTGATTCTTACAGCAAGGGGAACGGCTCTCCTGGCCGTGGCAAGGACATTTAATCCAACTGAAGAGGGAACGGCACTTCTGGCCGTGATAGGGCGGCTGATTCTTACAGCGATGGGAACGGCACTCCTGGCCGTGATAGGGTAGCTGATTCTGACAGCGATGGGAACGGCTCTCCTGGCCGTGGCAAAGACATTTAATCCGACTGAAGAGGGAACGGCACTCCTGGCTGTGTGTCTAGGACTCAGATCACTGGCAGGAGCCTTTACTGGACTCTGGTCAAAGGCTGGGGCCTGTACTGGATTCTGGTTGAAGGCTGGAGCCTGCTTTGGACACCTGTCGGGGGCTAAAGCCGGAACTTGACTCTGGTCAGGGGCTGAAGCCAACATTAGACCTTGCTCCGAGGCTGAGGCCAACACTGAACTCTGGTCGAGGGCTGGAGAATGCTCTGGACTCTGGTTTGGGGCATGAGCCTTTACTGGGAACTGGTCGGGGCCGGGAGCTCACACTGGACTCTGGTCAGGGGCTAGAGCCCGCACTGGACTTTGGTCAGAGGCTGGAGCCCACACTGGACTCTGGTCAGGCACAGATACCCTCTCTGGGCCAAACTCGGGGATAGAAGCGCTCTTTGGGCTAGACTCGGGGACAGGAGCCATCTCTGAACTCAACTCTGGAACGCAAGCCTTCTCTCAACTCTGGTCAGGGGCCAGAGCCATCTCTCGACTCTGGTCAGTGGCCAGAGCCATCTCTCGACTCTGGTCAGTGGCCAGAGACATCTCTCCGCTCTGGTCCGGGGCCAGAGACATCTCTCCGCTCTGGTCCGGGGCCAGAGACATCTCTCGACTCTGGTCGACTCTCAGCGAGTAAAATGGTTCGTCCAAACCTACGTGAAAGAATGTCATCAGCTCCTCATTCTTCAAATTAGCAGCAGAGGCCAGCTCCAAGAATTCCTGGGCATATTCCACTAGAGGTCGGCCATGTTACGAAAGAGAGTATAGCTGGTCCGATAGAAGGAGGAGGGTATTCATGTTATAAATCCGATCTTACGGTCTGGTCTTCTGTCACACTACAGAAGGAGACCGGGGGTAGACAGACAGGTAAATGTAATCTCTTTATTTACAGCTTGGTGCGGAGGGGAGAGATGCAGAGCAAACGGATGAGTAACTCAAGAGTCTTTGAGAATAACTGGACTTAGCTCAGGTTGATAACCGATCCTTGTATCTCTTTACAGGTCCGATGGATGATGCAGACGGCGAAGACAGGCGGGTAACAGGTTAGAGTCCAGGTAGGTGAGTCAGGTAAGGAGTAACAATGTTTATTTTCCTCTTTGTAGGTTGGCATGCTGAAGACGAGATGTCAGGACGTGAGAATGCAGGTGAGTAGGAAAGGAATCAGGTATGGGTAAACCTTGACGAGACCAGACAATGAGGCTGTAAAAAGTGACTGCTTATATATAGCAGGTGATGAGATGAATAGTGGCAGGTGTGCTGATTGGGGATCCGGTGCAGGTGTGAAGCGGGCGGGATGCTGGGAAATGGAGTCCTTAATGAAGTAAGGTGACTGAGCTGGTGACTGGGATGGTGACTAGGCTGGTGAACTTATATATATATTACACACACACACACACACACACACACATACACACACATATATATATATATATATATATATATGTGTGTGTGTGTGTGTGTGTGTGTGTGTGACTGGCAGATCACTGACAAGCTATGCAATATAGCGTTCATAATCACAAATGAGTCACATTCGATTATGAACGCGATATTGCGTAGCTTGTCAACGTAAGTGTTTTTATTAATGCCATTTATGTTTTTGTTAATACAGCGTATAGCACTAGTCAACTAAATGAATGTAATGCTCATTTGGAAGCTGAATGTAAGGGAAATGTCATTTTGGAATTTCTGTGGTCTAATGTGATACTGTTGTTCATGTTCTTGTTCATGATTAAATTTTCTTTTATTGCTGTAATTAATTTATAGCATTAACAAGATGACCCGTTGAATTCATTTTGGGAGCTATGACTGATTGAATGTATTTTTACTCCAGTGCCTGTATATAAGATTAGTTTTGACCAAGTTCAGAGGCTGTCATAGGTGGATTAACTCATGTTGTGTATTTTCAACAGTTTCAATATGAAAAATAACTTTTATATTGATTCAATGGATTTATTGCATTT